TATTTCTTGGAAGACAGCATTGGTTTATTGAATCCTGGCCTGACCATTACTGTAGAAAATGGAAGCTAAAAGGAAAAAATTTAATGAAAAGATATGATAATTAAATCTTCTTACATGTCATTCAGTATCTCATTTTGTTTCAATGCATATTTATTGAGATCATTTACTAGATACAAAGGTAAGTGTTGTAGAATATGCAAAGATGAGTAAGACAAGTCCTTGACCTTCAGAGCATGCAGAAGGAGGTATAACAGGGGAGCCTAAAGCAGGATAATGGGAAAGGAAGAGTATTCAGGAGTGTTAAAAGAAATGTGAGTCTGGGATACAGAATGAGAGAAAAAGAATATGCAGGAGACAAGTCTGAAAAGGTGAGATATTAGTCAAGATACTTTCAGTTGCAAGTGACAAACCTACTCAAGATACCTGGAGCAAACCGTGATTTAATTGGTGGTAATAACTGTGAGGCCTAAACAGTATAAATAGATAGCTGATCCTATGAATTTGGGGAAATAATGATGTGTCAATGTAAATTCACTGATTATAACAAATGTACCACTGTGGTGTGGGATGCTGACAGTGGGGGGAGATTGTGCATGTATGGGGGCAGGGGGCATATGGAAACTCCGTACCTGCCACTTAATTTTGCTGTTAACCTAAAACTACTCTACAAATAAAGTCTATTAGAAAAAAAAAAAAGAAAAGATGGTGGGACTGCTGTTAGCAGACAGCCATTTGAATGGAGACATGAACTTAAATATTTTAAATTTAAAGGAATAAAATGTTCCCTGCTGATCTAATGGAGGCCTGAGAGCCTGCCCAGCTGAGATTATTCTCAGCCGTTGACTTTCATCCCTTTTCTGGGATCACCCCCCTGGTTAGGTGCTGAGGATCTGTGTTAGTGAATAAATTGAGACATTCTGTAAATGTGACTTTTTAATGCATTTTATGGGCCCAGACCCTGTGCTTAATGCACAGTGGGTAAACAATGACAAAGCACAGGCCCTGGCCCTTAAACTTCACAAAACTGTATTGGTTTCTCAAAGGGTAGTCACCTGATCACCTATAATTGGAAGCACTTTGAGGCAGTTGTGCAAATCACAAAATTCAGGACCCTGTTACAGACTTTCAGAATAAAAATCTATGATGTGTAACCCAGGAATTTGCATTTCTAACAAGTATCCAAGAGCCTTGACTCTCAAAATATGTCATCGCCTGGGAGCTCCTTAGAGGTGCAGAAACCCCACCACAGATGTCCTGAATCAGAATCTGCATTTAAACAGGATCCTCATACATGAAAATTTGGGATTCAGAAGCACTTTTCTAGAAGATTGTTACATGCTGAAGCTTGAAAATCACTGGCCTAGAAAGACTGACAAGTATTTAGATGACTTTGTAACAATGTGATGAGTGCATTTATAAAGGAACACTGAATTCCTGCATAAAAGGAACAGGTTTCAGTCCCTCTGAGGTTTCCAGGAGAGGTGTGATAGCACCCACTTTTTAAAGAGCAGGGAGTTAGGCTAACGTGATAGGGCAGGGGTGAGAGATCTCATCAGAGGAAACTACAATACAAAAGTCCTAAGGCAAAAGAGAACACTGTTTATGGAACAAGAAATGGACCTCAAATTGCACTATCTTGGTTTTTGTTTTTTTAACTTACTTAAATAAACTTTGAACATCAATGGAAAAAGATATTTTTTTAAAATTCCGAGGTTGGGCATCTGGCTGGCTCAATCAGCATCCCACTCTTGCTTTCGCCTCAGGTCATGATCTCAGGGTCCTAGGATCAGCTCCCCCTCCTCCCCTGAGCTGGGTGGGGGAGTCTGCTTGAAGGTCCTCCCTCTCCTGCCCCTCCCCCTATTCCTGCGAACCGCTTTGCTCTCTCTCAAATAAATAAATATTAAGAAAAATTCTATGGTTAAAGATTTTCTCATTAATCTTCAAGGGAAAGGGAAGGGGATCAGATTTCCCATTCCTTTCATGCTGCTTTCTCTAGCCTCCTTTGACAAATTTTTTTTTTTGCATCCATTTCTTCTCACTCACTCATTCATTCAAAGAGACATACATCGGGCACTGGTGCTTTGTGCCTGGTGCATGAGAAGAAACAGCTCCTGCCCTCAAGGAGTTTGTAGGTGAGAGGGGTAGCGGTGGAGAAACCAATAAAATAGGTAAATAAATGAGTAATTGTCCACTGGGAAGATGGTTAGGAAGTGTGCTATGGTAGGGAAAGTTCAGGCAAGGCCGGTCCAGCTAGACCAGCGTACCCTCTTGCAATGGGGCCAATATCACTGTGGGTTTGGTGGGATGGGGCATCTTACTAAGGAGCATCCAGGGGCCAGTGTGTGTGTACACGAACACAACAGACACACACACACACACACACACACACACACACACACACACACACACACCGCTTTCTGTTGTGCTGGGGATGCGGATGGGGGTTGAAGACCTCCCCTCCAAGGCACCCCCTTTCAACCCGCCGTCTCCCACATGAAAGGACAGCGAAAATTGACTTTCTCCGCAGCTCCAAGCCTGCCATGAGAAGCCACCTCCAGGGTGCAATGGTCCTATTTTCAGAAAGAACTGAGCCGAGTAATTTTCTCAGTCAGGGCGCTGCTAAAAATGGGCCCAATCCTGCATCTGCTCCAAGGGAAATGTTCCAATTGCCGACATCCACTCGAGCGCTGGGAGGAGCGCGGCCGAGACTCTGCGGCACCCGCCATTGTTCCCGGGACGAGAGCGACGGAGAGCGAGCCGAGGGCCACAGCGATGAGGCCGGGCGGTGCGGGCGGTGCGGGCGGTGCGGGCGGGCCCTGCCCGGGTCGGCGGGGGGCGGGGCCGGGGGCGGGGGCGGGGCCGGGGGCGGCCGAGTCCGCGCCGCCTGGAACCTTGTGCGCCGGGTCTCGCTTCCCGGGTGGCCGGGGGGAAGCATTTCCGAGCGGGACCGCGAGGGGCGCTTGTAAACAGACGGCGGGGCGGCGAGGGTCGCGGCCGGACGGGCTGTCACGGTGAGGCGGCCTCGCGGCGGCGCCGAGCCCCGGCCGGGAGGGCCCGCGGGCCCCGCAGGTGAGCGGGGAGTCCCGGCCGCCGGCCGGCCGAGCGTCTGCCGGCTCCCGGGGGCCGGGGGGCGCCGGGGGGCGCCGGGGGGCGCCGGGGGGGAGGGGCGTGCGGATGACAACACTGACGGAGAGCCGGGGGCGGCCCTGGGGCGGCGATGATTTTGCTGTTTGTTCCGCGCTCCGGTTTTGGTTTCGTGCTGGGGCCGCAGGACGGCGCAGCGGGTAACGGGTGCCGGGAGGTGAGGGGGTGCGCGGGCGGCGGGCTTTTGTGCGTCAGGTGTGCGGGCAGAAGGCGGCTTGGAGGAGCCGCTGCCGCTGGGTGCGTCGCTGAGGCGCCCTGCTCGCCGGGCCCTGGAATCCCGAGCCCGCCGAGCGCCCCGCTCCCGCCCCCGCCCCCGCGGAGCTCCTGGCCGGCCGCGGGGCTGGCCTCCGAGGCCTCGCGTCCTTTCTCGCGTCCTGGAAGCGGTACCTTGTGGCCGATGACAAGCACGACTCGGCCTCCTGTGAGAGGATGGCTAAGCCGAACGAACCGGGACAAGGACATTGCAGACCCATTCAGTAAAGAAGTGTCCACTGAGATACAGTTGAGTGACAGCCTGAGGTTGGTCTAGATTTATAGCTTACGAGGAAGGGCAGATTTGGATTTCACGGGTTAAGCCGAGATTGAGCTACGCTGGTGAAAACTTACTTGGAAGTACCCCCCGCCCCCGCCTTTTTTTTTTTTTTTCTCCTCGGAAAAGAGAAACACTTTTTTTTTTTCTTGAATACTTTAATTTCAGTAGTCCCAGGGAATGGCGATGTGTATTCATCCATAAGGTATTTTATTATAAATAGACTGCGTGTGAGTTTTAATTGTCGTACTTAGCAAATACAGGGCGGTTTTCATTACATTAACTTCAAGAAAATGCCTTCTCAAAAAATTGGGCTATGTATAGACGTGTCTCTTTCGTCACACAGTCTTTTAGTTAGTAGAAGAGTATTATTATTATTTTTAAAGATTTATTTATTCATGAGAGACACACACACACAGAGAGAGAGAGAGAGAGAGAGAGAGGCAGAGACACAGACAGAGGGAGAAGCAGGCTCCATGCAGGGAGCCCGACGTGGGACTCGATCCCGGGTCTCCAGGGTCACGCTCTGGGCTGAAGGCAGGTGCTCAACCCCTGAGCCACCTGGTTGTCCCAAGAGTATTAGATTAAATTGCACATAGAGAAGTGTTTTTGGAATCAAGCACGTCAAAGAAATAATCTTAATGTCTTAGGGTTTTTTCTTTAAAATGAATATTTTCACAATATCATGGTTCATAGCAAGAACTATAAAGTTAGACTATACCTGGATTCCAGTTCCTGTGTGGCTACTTCCTATCGTATACCGTTGGGAAGTTACCTGCTGCGTTTCTGAAATCTGTAGAACGGGTATTTTAATAATAGTTCTGACCTCATAGGTTTGTTATGAGGACGAAATGAATTAGCATTTTTAAAGCGTTAAGAACAGTGCATGTAGCAATTGCTATATACGTGTTTGTTAATGAATACATAAGGGACACCTGGTTGGCTCAGCCTGGACAGCGTGTGAATCTTGATCTTGGGGTCATGAGTTCAAGCCCCACATTGGGTATAGAGATTACTAAAAAAAACACCTAATAAACTATTTCATTGATTTTTTAAAAAAAATATGTATAATAAGAATAAGCCAGTATTGAAAGTAGAATGGTGGTTTCAGAAGCTGGGGGAGGGGCAAAATGAAGAGATTTGTTAAAGGAGTATCATTTCAGTTTTGCAAGATGAAGAGTTTTATAGATTGGTCGCACAACAATGTGAATATACTTTTTACTGAACTGTACACTTGAGAATGGTTAAGCTGGCCAATTTTTTTTTTTAATTTTTGTTTTTTTTTATGATAGGCACACAGACAGAGAGAGAGAGGCAGAGACATAGGCAGAGGGTGAAGCAGGCTCCATGCACCGGGAGCCCGACGTGGGACTCGATCCCGGGTCTCCGGGATCGCGCCCTGGGCCAAAGGCAGGCGCCAAACCGCTGCGCCACCCAGGGATCCCTAAGCTGGCCAATTTTATAGGTAATTTTTCCCTTAAATAATTTTTTTTTCACAATTAAAATTTTAAAAAAATATCAGTGTTGGCAAAGTTAGGTATTCAAAATTTTTTTTTTTTAGGTGAAGGAGGGGCAGAGGGAGAGAATCTTTTTTTTTTAATTAAAAAAATTATTTTAAATTATTTTATTCGTTTGACAGAGAGAGAGAGAGAGAATGAGAGAGAGGGCATGCACACACAAGCAGTGGAGAGGAGTAGAGGGAGAAGCAAGCATCTTGCTGAACAGGGAGCCCCAGTAGGGCTCCACCACAGGACCCAGGGATCATGACCTGAGCTGGAGGCAGATGCTTAACTGACTGAGCCACCCAGGTGCCCTGAGAGAGAATCTTAAGTAGACTCCACGCCTGGTGCAATGCAGGGCTTAGTCTCACAACCCTGAAATCATGACCTGAGCCAAAATCAAGAGTTGGTTGCTTAACTGACTGAGCCACCCAGACACCCCTCAAAATTCTTATTGATGCACAGCAACCTCCTCCATAGTGGTCTTTGCCATTGTGAAAATGCAACTTCTTGCAGTCATTAATAAGATTTATTTGGTAAATTCATGCAATTAAGATTTATCATAAAGAGGGAAGCCTGGGTGGCTCAGCGGTTTAGTGCCGCCTTCAGCCCAGGGCATGATCCTGGAGATCCAGAATCGAGCCCCATGTCGGGCTCCCTGCATGGAGCCTGCTTCTCCCTCTGCCTGTGTCTCTGCCTCTCTCTCTCTCTCTCTCTCTCTCTCTCTCTCTCTCTCTGTGTCTCTCATGAATAAATAAAATCTTTTTAAAAAAAAAAAAGATTTATCATAAAGACCGTGAACAAATGGTGAGAAATAACACCCAAGACTCTATAGCAGGCAAAATTCTAAAAATGCCCCTCTACCAAGATGGCATGCTCTAATCCTCGTAACCTGGAAAGTTGACAAAATATTATTCTTTTGATTGTCTTATGTTACACGACATAGTTGAATTTAAAATGGAGAAAATATCTGAGTGGCCGTAATCTAATCACCAGAACCCATAAAAGTGGAGAGCTTTCTCTGGCTGGGGAAATCCAAAGGATTTGAAGCTTGAAGAGGACTGACATAATGTTGCTGTTTTGAAGATGGAGGCAACACTTGAGAAGGAATGGGGGAGCCTTGAGGAATGCAGGATACCAAGAATTGCTGAGGGTGGCCCAGCATGGGAACTGGAACCTCAGATTTAGGGGCACAATCTAGGAACTGGACTATGCCAACAACCTGAATGAGCTTAGAACTGGGTTCTTTACCAGAGCCTTTAGATAAGAATCCAGCCTGGTGGACAACACCTTGATTTTAGTCTCTTGAGAGAGACCCTGAACAGGGAACCCAGTGAAGCTAACCCAGACTTCTGATCTTCAGAATTGTGAAGTAAGAAAGAGGTGTTGGCTTTAAGCTTATAAGTTTGTAGAAATTTGTTAAAAAGCAATAGAAAACCAATACAGACTCCAGCAGAAAAGTGGGCAAAAGACATGAACAGACTATCCATAGAAGAGAAAATTAAGTGAATAATAGACATGAAAATACATTCTCTTTGCATTAACCAGAGAAATGAAAATGAACAACAGCAGGGTCCCATTTTTCCAACTCTTAAATTACATAGATTGTTAAACATTTCAATTCTTCACATTAATTAGCATGCAGTGGAGCAGACACTCTCAAATGCCATGAGGGGTGACCAAATGGTATAACCTTTCTGAAAATCTCATTGGCTGACTATATGAACAGCCTCACTAATGCTCCTACCTCTTGACCTAATACTTCTAGCAATCGATCCAAAGGAACTTAGAAATATTTTTAAAGTTTATGTTCACAAATGCTTAATGTAGCTTTGTTTTCTCATAGATTGATGGATTTTAGGCTTTGGGTGATAGACCTAGGTTAATTATATAAGTGGAAAATGAAGAACTGTGATGGATATGTAACCATTTGCAGAAAGAAAGACGTCTGCAGAAAGAAAGACGTCTGCACGTTCTAGCTAGGAAAACCAAGCTGGACCCAGGCCGGTGACATTTGCATTAGAAAACACCCAACGCTAATATTCATTGCATATTTATCAGATACTTGACATAATCTATTCCAGTTTAAGCATGCATGCAGCCTTCCCATACTACATGAAGTCAAGCTATATAATTATATATTTAAAAGCAGGCGGGTAGATGGGTACTACTTTAATTACTTGTTTTGGAAGACCTGATTTTTTAAACAGGAACCTGGAAAAGATTAGATCATTGGGGTAGATTTTTTAGGATTTTCCATCACTAGACAGCTTCCAGGAGAACCAGAGCACTGATACTCTTTCATTTTCCCCACTGGTTCTCTCTCCTGTTTCCATTTTGCTTTGTTCTTTCACACCTTACAAGAAATGTCCAGAAAGTGTCTGTTGCCCCATTGGCACTAGCCAAATGGTGATTTTCTTCATGAGGAATGTTAATCCCTTAAAAGAAACCTTGTGGAGGGACATCTAGCAAGGAATTGCTTTTTTTTAATTTATTTTTTTTAACAGTGATTTTGTATTTGGTTCATAAGTAGCTGAACCATATTCTAGCTTAGAGCTTCTAGTGCAAGTGAGAACTCAGTACTGAGCGACACTATGATAAAAATGACCACCAGTAGCAAATTCCATATGTTATGTTTGCTCTACTTCATTGGCTAGTGTGGATATTACCAGCCAGACAATAAAAAGCCCACATAATTTACCTTCATACTGACAATAAGGTAAGAACTGTATTTGGTCTGTGGGTGTACTTCGCCTTGATGGCAACATGAGTTATGAGCAGAAACCAAAGTTAAACTATAGAGGCCGTGTATTAAAATGTCAGGGTATGTTGTTTTCAGTAACGTTTTGTTTGTTTTTCATACACATTAACTGTTAATTTGAGTTATCTGTTTCAAATTGTATTCTCCGATTATATATCCTATCTGTGAGAATAGTAGAGATTTATTTGTCCAGTTATCTTGATTGGTGTAACCATTATATTCAGTACAAACAAAAGCTTCCTGGTTCTGCATTATTCAGTTTACTTGTGGACATTTATCGAATGGGGAGATTACTAAATACCCACTTTACTTTGTGGCTTGTATATATGATTGTAAATGTATTTTTTGGTCACAGAACAGGGAACATGTACTATTAGCTAGAAAACATCAGAAAGGTAACCAGCAATTTTTATGCCTCAGGAAATTAAGTGGTCTTTTCCCACGTGTTCTTGATCCATTTGAATCCACATTTTAGCTTTTCCAGAACAACTTCCCTTCTACCATCAGGGATTCATTGATTCATTGAACAAATAAGAAGTACTTGTTTTGTACCATGACATGTAGCTCTTGTACTTGGGGCCAGAAGTACAACTTTGAATGAAACGGCATAGTCTTTGCCTTGGTAAAACCTATGATCTAGTCGGGGAGTCAGACAAGTAAGCAGGCCATTTTACACAGCATGTGAGGATGCTATGGGAACACGCAAGAGGGACAATCAAAATGGATGTGGGAGGCCAGGGAAGAAGTGATACTTCTTCTGGCAGAGACCCAGAGGCTGAATTAAAATTAACCAAGTTGTACCCCTGTGTGTTGTTGGGTGGGGGTAAAGAGGGAGATTCAAGAGATGAGCCCAGGAGAGGCGGTGGCAATGAACACTTATAGGCGATGTTAAGGAGTATATGGTTTCCCCAGAAGACAGCAGGGTTTTCATTTTAGAAAGCCCACTTAGGTTGCAGTGCAGTGACTGGATCAGAGGAGGGTGAGACTGAAAGGAGGAAGAGGGTGGTGGTGTCTGAACTCAGACAATAAAGAAAGAGAGGAATGGATCGATTGGACAGATGTGGTAGAGGTAGGATTAATATGACTTGCTGTTTGGAGTGACGGCGGGTAAAGGAGCCAGAAGGGTCAAGGGTGGTGTTCACTTTCTGGGGCAGATGATGGTGTCCTTCACTGTATGGACGAGGCTGAGATGAGGAGCTGGGTTTGTGCATATTAGGAGTTAGGAGACATCCAAATGGCAGTTGCATCTGTGGGCCTAGAGCTCAAGGGAGTCATCCATTTCTTATCTTCCATGTGGACTGCAGCGGAAGCCACAAAAGTGGAGGTCACTCAGCTAGAAGAGGGACTAAAGAAGAAAGTTATGGAGAAAATGGAGGAATGCCTGCATTTATGATAGGAGCATAAGAAGGGAGCTCTTAGTGGGGACTGAACCAAGCATCCAGAGATAAAGGAGAAACATCAGAAAAGGCTGTGTCAGTATATTCATGAGAGCAATGTAGAGTGGGCGTGCAGTAGGTCAGACACCGCTGAGGGGTCAGGTCAGACGTGCAGTGAAGTCTCCTGGGTTTAGCAGCAAGGAAATGGTTGCTGACCTTTGGCCTCTGCATTTTCAGCTGGGGCAGAACCAGATTGTCTCTGAAGGGCAAATGAATGGTTGGTGAGAAGTAGTCAGAAAGCATAAAGAGCAAGTTTCTTCTAGAAATTCGGAATTGAAAAGGAAGAGAAAGTATTTTAGCTATAGAGGAACTTGGAGGGCAAGGGAGGGTTTTACTCACTTGGTGTTTCTTCATTGAGAGATACTCCTTTTCGTCATACACTTGCGCTATTGAATCTCCCACTCTAAGACCTCCAGAAAAGCAGAAGCACAGTAACTCAGGCTGCCTTGAACGGTGCAGTAGTTCTGTGAATAGGTTAAAACCTATCTCAGAGCTTTCTAAACTGATTGCTGTCGCCGCTCTCTGTACCAGCTTGTTGGTTTATAATGGGAGGAGATCAGAGAGAATGTGGTAACCCTTTCCCTGGCACCACACACACCCCTGTCGGCATCCTGTGCCCTGCTTTGGCATTCACAAAGCCACTGCATTATGTCATTTGACTTGCTCTCCAAGCCAACTTTTGAAGAGCGTAGGACAGGTATCCTTACTTGACCTGCGTGAAGGTAACGGGAATTCAGGTTCAAATGGTTTGCCCAGAATCACACCTCTG